AACAAGCCAATCCAGTAGTAATAAATGAAGGCAATGAGATCAGATCTGGAAACGATGCTGCAAAAATCCTTTTAAATCAGTTTAAATCTGTTAGTGATATTAATATAGAAAAGTCCAGAGAAGATGAGGTAGTACTAAGAATTAAAGAACTCGAGGAGGCCAGCAAGAGTAAACAAGCAGAGAGCATCATGACAGATAAATTCTCAATGAGTGAACTTAACACAGGACTTAACCAGCTGAAATCCAACCAAGCCCCTGGCCCCGATAAAATCCCGAATGATATGTTACTACTCATGGGTCCAAGTGCCAAAAAGAAATTATTAAACATCTTTAATGCCAGCTGGATTTTTAGTATAGTTCCTCCAGCCTGGAGGAAGTCTGAAATCTTCGTAATCCTGAAACAAGGAAAGCTGAAGAACAACGCAGACAGCTACAGACCCATCAGCCTCACTAGCTGTCTGTGCAAACTATTTGAAAGATTATTGAACAACCGACTTACCTGGTTCCTAGAGAAAAACTTCAAACTAATGGAGGAACAGGCAGGTTTTAGACGTTGCAGATCAACAGAAGACCAAATTACATGTATTGCTCAACACATTGAAGATGCATTCCAGGACAAAAAGCACACTAATGCAGTCTGGGTGGATATGGAAAAGGCCTTCGACAAAGTGTGGAAAAATGGGCTGAAACAAAAGCTACTTGAAAGTGGAATATCCCATCACATGCTTGGGTGGATCGTAAAATATCTTGAAAATCGATCTGCAAGTCAAGATACAGGGTTCAAGGAGCAGATTAGTCCTAATGAAACATGGAGTTCCACAAGGCGGAGTTCTGTCCCCAATTCTTTTCCTAGTTTACATTAACGACATAAAATCAACCCTCTGTAATGGAGTTCAAGCCGTTATGTATGCCGATCATCTGGCGCTACTGAGTTCAGAGGAGGACACTGAAAAAGCACAGACAAGGCTTCAAGAATCCCTCGGAACTCTAGAGAGGTGGTCCAATAGCTGGTACATGCCTGTAAATGGGGCCAAAACCACACACACCATTTTCAGTCTCTCTACCAAACCCCAGAAAGTTTCACTTAGATATGGCAGCCAGGCAATGATACATGATGACTCACCGTCATATTTAGGAGTAACCTTTGACCCAAGACTCACATGGAGAAAACAGATAGAAAAGACACAGAGCAAGGGACTCAAGAGAACACAACTGATGAGGAAGTTAGCTGGAACAGACTGGGGGGCAAACCTCAATGTCCTTAAGAGGACCTATACAGGCTATGTGAGGCCAACACTAGAATATGGAATAGCTGCTTGGGGCACAGCTGCTATATCAAATTTTCAGAAAGTCTCAAAGATTCAAAACCATATGCTCCGTATTATGACAGGGGCAATGCGCTCCACGCCAATATCAGATATGGAAACAATTACTGGTCTCCATAATCTGGAAGATAGGAGAGACACAAAGCTCCTCACCCAGCTCTCCAAATACAACCTCTTTCAAGAACAACCCATGTACAGCCGACTGCAGAAACCCCAGAAGGCTAGACTAAAGAGAACCTGTTTTATCAAGAACGCAAATGCCAAGCTCGCTGTCCTTAAACTCCCTCCCATAATACCCCTACCAACAGTCAGAACCACTGTAACAGGGGTCTCCTCCAAATCATCAATGAGCAGCACTGGTATGAAATCAACTACAGAAGGAGAGATCAATAGACTTTATCCACACCAGAGTTGGATTCCAGTGTATACAGATGGCTCAGCCAAGAGAGCAGTAAGAGACGGAGGAGGAGGAATATACATAGAATGCCCAAATGGTTTGAAAATCAACCAGGCTGTACCAACAGGTTCATATTCCTCCAATTATAGAGCAGAGGCAGAAGCACTTCTAGCTGCATGTTCTTTTCTGAATGGACAACAGCACAGCAAATATAGCAGAGTGGTCTTTCTGACTGATGCTATGTCAGTTCTACAAGCAATTGTTAACCCAAAAGACACTCAGTTTGTAGACTTGACGCAACAGCTGATTTGCTTAGGCTCTTCAGTAGAACAATCTGTACTGCAGTGGATTCCAGGTCACTGTGGCTTGGAAGGCAATGAAATAGCGGACAGATTGGCCAGAAGCGGCAGTGACATGGTACAACCAAATAGCGACTTAACCCACCAAGAGATGAAAACACTAATACAAGCTAGTATCCAAGAAAGGTGGCTGGATACCCACACCAGATTTTCTCCCCAAGACTCACTTTATCGCCTCTCTAGAGAGGGACAGTGTATTATATTCAGACTAAGGACAGGGTACAACAGATTTCGTCAACATATGTTCAAATTTTTCGGTGTAGGAAATACGGAGACGTGTCCCTGCAGCGTGGCACACGAAAATGCTGAGCATGTGCTCTAACACTGTCAACTGTATGCTGACAACAGAGACGCAAACTGGCCTGTTCCAACCACACTGAAGACAAAACTGTATGGTACACGAGAGGATATGGATTGCACGATAGCTTTCATAAAGGCCTCCTGATATAAGTTTTCTGACAGAAGGATCGAAGAAGAAGAAGAAGAAGAACATTGCAAACATACCAAATTATTCAAACGTAAGTTCACACTGACAAGCTACAACAACATTGCAAACATACCAAATTATTCAAACGTAAGTTTACACTGACAAGCTACAACAACATTGCAAACATACTAAATGATTCAAACATAAGTTCACACTGACAGGCTACAACACTGCAAACATACCAAATTATTCAAACATAAGTTCACACTGACAAGCTACAACAACACTGCAAACATACCAAATTATTCAAGCATAAGTTTACACTGACAAGCTACAACAACATTGCAAACATACCAAATTATTCAAACCTACACACTGACAAGCTACAACAACATTGCAAACATACCAAATTATTCAAATGTAAGTTCACACTGACAAGCTACAACAACATTGCAAACATACCAAATTATTCAAACATAAGTTCACACTGAAAGGCTACAACAAAATTGCAAACATAGCAAATTATTCAAACATAAGTTCACACTGACAAGCTACAACAACATTGCAAACATACCAAATCATTCAAACATAAGTTCACACTGACAGGCTACAACAACATTGCAAACATACCAAATGATTCACACTGACAGGCTACAACAACAACATTGCAAACATACTAAAGTATTCAAACATAAGTTCACACTAAGAGGCTACAACCAAATGATTCACACAAATGTGGCAGATTTCTTTGTCAGAATTCTCCACTGAAAAAAGTACTGGGGTGTAGAGGTATCTAAAGATTTTACGTCTTGCCTGTTCTATACTTGGATGGATAGAAGTTTTCTCCTGCAAGATGGGATGCATCGATACTTTCAGGTATTTATGCAAGATGCTCCTGCGCCCCCCCCCCCCCCCCCTAAAAAAACCACGAATATCAGAGGGGAAAAAATGAAGTTCAAAAGGTGGGGAGGTCATGGGGTGAGCTGCAGTGACATCAAAGGCTAGGACTACTTGATATTAGTTGGTTGAGGACCTATGCTGTTCTGATAGCACCCTGTTTAGTCTTCCTTATTTTATTCTAGGAGTAAGAGATGTGATGTAGAATTTCTCAGCATCCTGTTTTATTTTTGCATAATTACATAAGAGAGAATACTGTGCTAGGTCTCTACTTTCTGCGGATGAATATCACAGGAGGGAGTGATGTATCACAATCATACTAAACTATGACTTTGCAGCCATATGTACACAAACTTAATATGGGCGAATCAGCCATGTGCACATGTGGTTTGGCACCTGAGACAACAGATCATGCCCTCCAAGACTGTCCCAAATACAACATATCAAAGTTCACACTAGAGACAACACTGCAGACATAGATAATTGATTTCAAGCGAATGAAAGAAGAAGAACAATCAAACTGAGGGTGCAGACTACAGACTATCGGTACCCATTGTATCAGCCCGGGATTTCCTTATTGTCATACAGGCTGACACAGATAGGTAATTTGTTACAGACTAAACTCCGGACCACTAGACTGGTAAGTCAATGTATTGAATGTTTAATTACTGAGGCTATTAACTACCCATAACAATCCATAAACATAGAATAATAACTGTTATAAAGTGTGTTCTGTCTTTTTTTTTTCATACCCAACCAGATTTTTGGGAGCATCTTTCACTCCCCCTTTTTATGGCTTGTTTGTTCAGAATGAACAACCAAATGCAGAAAATCTTTAATGAAACACATTTTACGACACGCCAGTTAAGGGGTAAGGACTTTTCCTTTTTCACTCCCCAAACGGGGCCTCTGAACCTACTGGAGGACAATGAATGATATAACACACTACACAGTGGTCAACTGTAACATGTATGTTCACACTGCTCAATTTCCTTCTTGAATATTTGTGAAACTGTCCAAAATTCACATTTGTATGTTGCCGCAGAAAAAGAAAGGCATTTTTCCCTTCATAATTTACCTGTGTTGTCTGCTATTGTGTTGCACATTTTTCATAACTCTAAACTATTATAGTCAGTCTCTTTATGACTTCTGGACAACCCCCACTGTTGTTAATTGTAGAGCTCAGGTAACTTAATCAACAAAATGTATTAGGGGGCAGCCTGGTCTCGGGGTATGGTGTCCGCCTCATGTGCTAGAGGTCCTAGGTTCAGGCCCTGGTGAGAGCTGGGATTTTTTCACATGGACTTTTAGTAATTTCCCCTGGCCTCTGGGTAGTGAGATCAGATGATCTTGTAAATTGTTGCGCAAGTAAAAAATCAACTGGCAGTTAGAAAATTGAAAAAAGTAGCCTGACGGCGCTGCCCGGGCAAAATTTGGAGTTTAAAATCTACCCAAAGTATTTCAGGATCCTCGCCTGTGCACTGCGGTGAGCTTCTTTAGACTCAGACTTGAATTAGAAGAAGAACAGAGCACTTATGGGTTACTACCTGTGTGCCATGATGTTGATTTGTTATTCAAACTTCAAAATATATTACCTAGAAATTCATCTTCAAGGCCATGAATGAAAGCCCCACAAGCTCCTATGCTCAGCAAATTGATTGACTCAGGGTCTAGCTCTTCTTTGGGAGCATCATCTGCCCACTTCTGCCCAGTTGACCATTCCCCAGAAGCAAAATGTTCTCTGGCCCGTTCATGAGCTGACCTCTTCCTCTGCAAAAATAAAATATTTTCAAACACTGTAATAATGAAAAATCAATAGGAACTGCACACAGAAATAGGAATGTACATCCAGCAGATCAAATGAGCAGCCACAATTGCATAATTTTCTGTAAGATGAGCCTGATGCTCAGTCACCTACCTTACATTTTACGTGATGCAAATGTTTATTTTGTGTTTCTCTTTTTCTCTATAATCAAATCTATTAAACATTTCTCTTAATGTGTAATCAGATCTATCAAATTTTGCTCCTGCTCTTTAATCAGATTCATAAAATCTTTCTCCTGCTCTATAATTCAGTAGTCTGTGAACATGACGCATACTCTCTTTCTTCAGAACTGGTTTAATTCTTCACGTGCTAAAGAACTTACTGATAACAATAATCAGTCAGGAATCATACCTCTAATTTAACGAAAGAACAAAACGCAAACATCAAAGTGCAGATGTTTTATGTAAATATCGTCCAACTGAAGTTTGTTGTTTGTTCATTACAAGTGATGAGCACCACTTCTTTTTTTCACCCATCATGAAACTATAGTTGATTGTCTGCGAGTCATTATGTGTCTTATAAGCCCAATGCAGGTCTGGAAGGATAGAGGACAATGAGGGCAGGGACCAGTGTTTGTAGGTAAAGGGCCTGTTATACAAGTCTCTTTAGCCTGCATGTGCAATTCAGCTTTCTCTAGATGTCTCGCAAGTCACTGCACCTCTTTAGCTAGACGTTCGCCATACTGTCCAGTCATGTGCTGCAGCCTCCCAAGTGTTAAGGTTTATATTGAAGGCTTTACTGATGTCTTTAGTATATTTCTGATGCAGTTTTTTTCTGGCCACCACGGGAGCATCTACCTTCTTGTAACTCACCAAACAAGATTAGTTTTGGGAGTTAATGCATCTACCTTCTTGTAACTCACCAAACAAGATTAGTTTTGGGAGTTAATGGTCTGGCAAGTGAACGACCTGGTCTGACCATTGAATCGGTGACTGCACCAGGATGGTATCAACACTAGAAATGCCAACTCTTTCCAGTACAACAGTATACAGGAAACTGTCTTGCCACTTGACGTTCTGTATTTTTCTCAGACACACTGAATGGAAATGGTTGAGCTTCTTTGCCTCACATCTATGTAAAGTCACAGGCATACAGCAGCACTAAAGTACAACTGAAGTACATGTAACATCAAATCAATAAAAAAAAAAAAAAACCAACACAAAATGTATATTTTGAGCAAAAGAATTTACAGGCAAAAGAATCAACATCCCTCAGTCTCTCTGCAGAGTAGCTGGTCACCATAGGCACACAACTCCCTAGATCCCCCCCCCCCCCCCCCCCCCCCCAAGTGTCTTCAAAACACCACTAGTGTTGAATGAAGAATTGACATCATAGCACTCGGGACACCCACATAAGCGCTCCATCCCCATCTTCAGCAGCAAACGAAGAGTTCTAATCCCGATGGCACCAGTAACTGTCTGATTGTATATCCATTTCGCCCTTCTCTTGAGCGTTGTTGCTATAAACCCCCATGCACTTCGTCTGCCTCAACACAGAACCATTTGTATAGATAATCGCATCACTTGGGCAGGAATTGTCATGAATCATTTGTTGAAATTCTGATTCTGCAGCCCCAGCTGGCAAGTTCCTGCACTCACAACCCAAACTGATAAGAACCCTGCACAAGTCTGAAACTTGCTCAGACACTTTGACACACACCTCACCTCGCACAAATTTATCAAGCCTGCACACGTCTGATTACACATTCAGCTTGCGCCATCCAAGACTTTTCTCTTTTCAGTCAATGACCCTTAGATCTACCTAGGACATCATGTAACAGGTGCTTCTTGTCTGCAGCTACTTTGAGATATGACTTTGCTTGCAGAACTTTGAGCTTATCTGCAATAGTAGGCAGTGCAAGTATATATCGTATACATACTACCGGGGAATCTCTTGTACATCTTAAAATTACCCACATGGCTTCATTCTGTATACGTTTAAGTTTCATCAGCTGACTGTCTGATATGGTAAATATTCCAAGTCCATAATCTATCACCGACAGGATCACATGCTAGAACATTGTGAACAGCATTCTTTGTTCCATGTCCATTGCTGCCATCATCTTGAGAGCATTTTTTAGGCATTTCACCAGAACTGCCTCTATGTGATCCCTATAGGACAGGCTTCTATCAAAAGTGATACCAGGGTACCTCAGTTTGCTTTTTCTTTTGATGTAACTGTTATTAACTGTGAGGCTTGGAACATTAGCTTTTACAATTCTATAAAAACACCACTAGTCAAACACAAAATGAAACAAAACCCACACTCTCCAGAGTGTGAGGGAGAAAAGAAAAAACATCAGAAACCCAATTGTCAGTATTAACAAACTACTCACTCTCAACTGAGACATGATCTTTTTATCCAACGTCTGCTCCAGGAACCTGGGACTCACCATATGCAGGGACCCCTACAGGAGATAAACTCACGCATTTCATGGCAGTCACACATGATCATGTCAAAAATTAACATTTAAATGTAATCACTTTAACAACTAACAATTACCTAATGTTTTGATAAAGCAGCAAAAAAAGCCTATCCTGATGTACACAGATCAGTCATGTGCACTCTTCTTCTTCTTCTACTTCCTAATGTTCACTGGCTGTAAACTCTAGCAGAAAGTTCTGGCTGTTCATCCATTTCTGGTCTTTTGTCTTGTTCCATAACCTGACTATCGTGTGCACATCCTTTTCACAGATCTGGCTTATATGTATGGCAGTTCCTTGCCTCCCAAGCAGATGATTCTGACTTTGAAGGAAACTCCCCTAATTAGTCGCCTTATATGACATGCTTGTTAGTGAGGCATTGGGTCAGACAAGAACAAGCTTCCTGGACACAGATTTCTTGCCTGTTTCATCAACATAGAATTTGCCCCTGATCCATAACTGCTGCACATAAATATCAAGGCTGTTTGTGCTAATCAGTATTAGGGCAGAATGACTTTCTGACTCCTCTTTTTGTGTTGTTACTCCCCCCCCCCCCCCCCACTTTTTTTTTTACCCCACTGTTGTGGGATATTGCATAATTTTTTTTCTAATGACCAAGAAAGATTTAACTAGAAGTTGATGATGCAGTCCTGTCTATGATTACATCAACTTTGTGTACAAATATATCTGACAAAATGTTTGCCATTATTTAGTGCATTTGTCCTTCTCAAAAGTATGGTAGTTAGAAATGCCTAGAACATGTGTGAACAACACTAATACAGAAGTAAACCTCAGCCATCACTGTCTACAGGCAACACTTACCAGTAGTTGGCAGGCCTTGACCCTCACCCTGACAGATATGTCAGTGACCATGTTGCAAATCTTGGCAAATCCATCATCCACCATGCGCAACTCCTCGAAGCTGTCAGTCACAGCAACTAGACTGAGAAGACCAATGCAGAAAGGAGCATCAGGTCAAGTCAAGGTAATCCCACTGCAGATGTGGTCATGAAGTTTCTCATATATCTTAGGCTACAGATTACTAACGGCAGTCGCAGTGGGGTTGGCAGCTAGATACCCCCCTGCGGACTGGAAGGTAGTGGGTTCGCATCTTGACAGAGCCACTCTTTTTCAAAAATGACATTGACTCATAGGTCGACCCAACCTTGAGTGGGTACCAGATGCAATCCTGGGAAGTAAAGGTGGCTGACCATATCACCCATCAAGTGTCGATTAGTCAATACAAATGTAGGTCTAGCCTTATATTCTCACTACACCTATAGGGGTGGAAAAGGGACCTTTAATTACTTTACAGATTAATTATGTAACCAGTCTCTTGTCTTATGTACTCATCCATTCTCAACCTCTAAGCTGTAGGCTGCCACAAGCAGACAATGAGACCACAAACATAAAATCATTCTGTAAGGTAACAATAATCTAATAGCAGATACTGTCATAAAGTATTCATATATACTAGATTATAACATCATAAGATAACAATTTTTCCCCATCTGTAACTACTGATAGCTTTTATTATTATGGTACCTTCAGTCACAGTACACAGAAGATCCTACACCCCCCCCCCCCCCCAGCCAAGTCAACATCCTTATGAGGTAACCACAGCAGGAGGAAGAATAAGAAAAACATTCTTGTTTTATTTTCTACCTAGTATGTTTTCCAAGATAATTCCACCTATTTGCTTGCTCAAGAATTTTTCCCTTTACTGCACTGTTGTAATTCATTTTCTTTCTCGACAATGACTATAATTTCTGCTTTCTTGCAATATGATTCTAACCCAATCCCCCTCTCCAGGTGCCAGTTATGAAATGTAAACTACAGTGTTTGCAGTAAACATTTCTGTTTATGTTTTCAGCAAAACAACACTGCAGTTATTCCCATGCTTGTACACTCACATTATTCTTGCTTGATTTCTGACCATATTTCACTAGAGTCTTATTACTACAACAATTCTGAACCACCAGTTCGATTTGATCATATTCTAAAACTTGATTTCTTCAGGACTGCAATAAACATAGATTTTATATAGGTCAGAAGGCATGTCTCCTCTTTTATATATTGCATTCATGAGGCTGGTGACCTGGTTTATTGCATTCATGAGGCTGGTGACCTGGTTTATTGCATTCATGAGGCTGGTGACCTGGTTTATTGCATTCATGAGGCTGGTGACCTGGTTTATTGCATTCATGAGGCCGGTGACCTGGTTTATTGCATTCATGAGGCTGGTGACCTGGTTTATTGCATTCATGAGGCTGGTGACCTGGTTTATTGCATTCAGGAGGCTGGTGACCTGGTTTATTGCATTCAGGAGGTTGGTGACCTGGTTTATTGCATTCAGGAGGCTGGTGACCTGGTTTATTGCATTCAGGAGGTTGGTGACCTGGTTTATTGCCCATTCTTTCAAGGAATGTACATCCAGCAGACCAAATGAGCAGCCACAATTGTCACTTCAGCTGTGATTTTGCCCGAACCATAGTGTCTTGCTGGACTTCAAAAGGTTTAGGGCATGACTCTCCATCTTTGAAATGTGTGGCCCTTTACTGTTATTTGGAATACCAAACTGTTCCTCGCATATGATACCACAATATTCAGCTTGAGAATGGAGGTGAAGGCGGTCACTGTAGCTTTCTGCTGGTTAGAGAACACAACACACACACACATCGTGATTGTAACTGACTCAGAAAGCATGCTGAGGAAGATCAGGACAGGCATGCTTCATGCAGAGTAGCATGCCTCGCTGCGGAGGACACAGGTGAGAAGTGTTGTCTGGATTTTTTTCACCGGGCGATGCCGGTGTGTTGGGAAATGAACAGGAGGACAGACTGGCTGGCTCTGCACAACCTGGTGGAATACTGATGCATGATAAGGCAGACGTGGTTAGTGCCTTGGGGAAGAGTGTACAGTTCGGAGCAGCATATGGATCATCACAGTCTGGTGAGATTGATGCAGGGGGGAGTGACGAGAGGTTGTGGCAGATGCTCGAGGCTCAGAAGAAAGGCAAGACGGACGTTTAATCAGAATGCTAATGGCACCATTAGTATCGGAACTCTTCGCTGGCTGCTGAAGATGGGGATGGAGCGCTTATGGGAATGCCCAAGGTGCTGTGATGTTGGTTCTTGAATCAAATCAAATCAAATCGTTTATCGCAGAAAAAACATTTAAATAAAATACAGTACATATCAAATCTAAGTCTACTGTACCTCTCTGGATACAGGTGACACAGGACCCAAATCAAGTGGATGGCCACCAGTCGAACTCCCTCATAATCATCACAGAGAGCAGAGCAGGCCTGCTGGTAGACTGACAGGTTCAAGAACTGACCGCTGTTGTGGAGGGACAGCTGGAGAAGTTCCATCACAGTGAACAATATAATAAGTTAACATTATAGAAAAGCATGCTCACTGATCAATCGTCATCAACCCATTGGGTACCATACACAGTGAAGGTTGGCTACATGTTCATCCCTTCCTGGCCAACCCTGTCCACAGACATGTGTCTGATTGAGCTATTGTTGGATGAGCTGCAAAGACGTGTTTGTCACAGGGATGTTGCTATCTGTTCCAGGCAGTCTAGGAAAAGTGGGTAGCCATCCCACATAAGATGTTTGATTGCATCCATGCCCAGGAGATGTTTGTCACTTGCCATGCACCATAAAAACAGGAAAGCCTGTACACCTAAAAATAATATTGATGACCAGATGCAAAATAACTGTCAACTGATTAGTTGAACCCCAAAAATTTGTATGTGCATTTAAACAGTTTCCCTCATTAAATTACAAAGATTTTGAATGTCAAATTTATAATTATGAATTTTCCTTTAGCTACATGTTTCCTTTTTTGAACATTACATACAATGATGTTACCCATGTGCAATGAAGGTGATCATGTATATACCAAACTAAACCCTTCCACTTCACTCACCATAGCCTCGAAAGCACTGCACCTGACACGGGGATCACAGTCACTTATATATCGTGACAACACCTCTTGTATAGACACCGGCCAATCAGGGGATGCAGGTGTGTCCTTCCTCTGCTGTTCACAAGATGCCAGGCAACCAATCAAATGTAGGCAGCTGCTCCTAACTTGATGACTAGAGTTTGACACATTCTGTAAACACAAGAGAAACACCTTGTACTTTGTCAAAATAATCAATATAAATTAACTGAGTTACATCAGTGATTCCTAAAAATTCACTGAACATGTGTAGATCTGAAAAACATATTTTAACCTAACCAGCACCCTTTAAGGACAAACTCCATGGAGACATAAACAAGCTCAAATTGAATGTCGCCTTCTTTAAATACATTTAGGATGCCATCTGAGGGTACAGGGGAGAAACAAATGCAATTTGGAGGTGTCTCAAAATACATAAGAGGGAGACAGTAAGGAAAGTAAATATCAAAGGAAAAACAATCAACCACACACAAGACTGGGACAGCCATTCTGTCCAGCTGTTGGACGATGGCCTATCCAAAGGTCATGGGTTCAAGTCTAAACAGATACATACTTTTTAAAAAAGATTACCTTGGCTCGCAGCTTGACTGAGCCTTAAATGGGTACTAAGTAAGTCCTGAGAAGTAAATGCAGCTGGTGTGAGGTGTGATGTTGACCACATCATCCACAGAGTGCTGATCATCTATCAAATACAGACCTAGTACAAAATGACCAATATACCAGAAGGTGTGGAAAAGGGTCTTTACTTTACACATCAGATCTGCAAGTGAAAGGCAAGGGTGGAAACATCACATCAGATCTGCAAGTGAAAGGCAAGGGTGGAAACATCACATCAGATCTGCAAGTGAAAGGCAAGGGTGGAAACATCACAACAGATCTGCAAGTGAAAGGCAAGGGTGGAAACATCACAACAGATCTGCAAGTGAAAGGCAAGGGTGGACACATCACAACAGATCTGCAAGTGAAAGGCAAGGGTGGACACATCACAACAGATCTGCAAGTGAAAGGCAAGGGTGGACACATCACAACAGATCTGCAAGTAAAAGGCAAGGGTGGAAACATTACAACAGATCTGCAAGTGAAAGGCAAGGGTGGACACATCACAACAGATCTGCAAGTGAAAGGCAAGGGTGGACACATCACAACAGATCTGCAAGTGAAAGGCAAGGGTGGAAACATCACAACAGATCTGCAAGTGAAAGGCAAGGGTGGACACATCACAACAGATCTGCAAGTGAAAGGCAAGGGTGGACACATCACAACAGATCTGCAAGTGAAAGGCAAGGGTGGACACATCACAACAGATCTGCAAGTGAAAGGCAAGGTTGGAAACATTACAACAGATCTGCAAGTGAAAGGCAAGGGTGGACACATCACAACAGATCTGCAAGTGAAAGGCAAGGGTGGACACATCACAACAGATCTGCAAGTGAAAGGCAAGGGTGGACACATCACAAGAGATCTGCAAGTGAAAGGCAAGGGTGGACACATCACAACAGATCTGCAAGTGAAAGGCAAGGGTGGAAACATCACAAGAGATCTGCAAGTGAAAGGCAAGGGTGGAAACATCACAAGAGATCTGCAAGTGAAAGGCAAGGGTGGAAACATCACAAGAGATCTGCAAGGGTGGAAACATCACAAGAGATCTGCAAGTGAAATGCAAGGGTGGAAACATCACAAGAGATCTGCAAGTGAAATGCAAGGATGGAAACATCACAACAGATCTGCAAGTGAAATGCAAGGGTGGACACATCACAACAGATCTGCAAGTGAAATGCAAGGGTGGAAACATCACAACAGATCTGCAAGTGAAAGGCAAGGGTGGACACATCACAACAGATCTGCAAGTGAAAGGCAAGGGTGGAAACATCACAACAGATCTGCAAGTGAAAGGCAAGGGTGGACACATCACAACAGATCTGCAAGTGAAATGCAAGGGTGGAAACATCACAAGAGATCTGCAAGTGAAAGGCAAGGGTGGAAACATCACAAAAACTATTACTGAACAATGGGACACAGATAAAAGTCTGAGAAACTGAGTTAGATGATTCCACTCTTCCAGGTGCAGATATTTTTCTCTGACCTTGAGTTTTCATGGTAAGAGCTTAAGGGCTTATGGTCAGTGCTTAAGGGCTTATGGTTAGAGCTTAAGGGCTTATGGTCAGAGCTTAAGGGCTTATGGTCAGAGCTTAAGGGCTTATGGTTAGAGCTTAAGGGCTAGTTACTGTAAAGTTTTCTGTGCAATTTTGTTCAACCTTGTTGGTGCTACAACTTAACTAGATGACAGCAGGTACCATAAGTATGGAGACCCTCTGCTGGCTCTTGAGGAGGGAGAAGGAGCTTATATGGGTTTGTCCTGAATGATGTGATGTCAAATCATTACCCAGATGACCCAGATGCTATAACCTGAAAATTTATGAATATATTACAACTACAACCAGGTGGTTTTGTAGATGAATCATGAGAATACCATGAATAATTAAATAATATCAAGAATGTTCTGAAAGAAATTCTTCTAAAGAGAATTGATTACAGTTATCAGAAAAAGATCATCTACATTTTTGGGTCATACTGTGAGAAGGGAAAAACTGGAGTATATTGTGAGAGCAAGAAAACAGAAAAAACACAAAGGAGAGAGGAGAAAAAAAAAGAGGTACTGCACAGTTTGGTATCATGGCATAGATGATCACCTGCGTCAGACAAAAGTGAAGGTAAACGAGATAGAAGACCTTGGAAAGAATGAATTACCAATGCCAAACAGCATGGACTTTAAGAAAAACACAAAGAAAAAAGTAACAAAAAAGTGACCAGGTATGAATGTTGGCTTTCCATAATGAATGCTCAAAACCAGAAAAACTCAAGAAACCATATTCCTTTTAAGAGTTAAGGCACAAGGATTTGTTGTGAGGTGCAAATGTTCATACATAGGATGGTGATAACAGTACCACATAAAGGATGGCATTATGAGTAACACATAAATGAGGACAGTTTGAATACTACTTAAACTATGATACTGTAACACATAAATGAGGACAGTTTGAATACTACTTAAACTATGATACTGTAACACATAAATGAGGACAGTTTGAATACTACTTAAACTATGATACTGTAACACATAAATGATGATACTGTGGGCACCAAATAAAGAATGATATGATGAGTACAACACACATTGATACCACAAAAAACTGATATTGTGAGAACAACAAAAAGGATGACATTATGATACTATGAACAGAACTAAAATTATAGGATGATATTGTGAGAACCATACAAATGATGATATTGTGAGAACCATACCAAGGATGATACTGTGAGAACCCTACACAGGATAGTATTTTTAGAATAGTATAAAAGGATGATACAGTGAGAACTATACAAAAGATAATATTTTTAGAATAATACAAAGGATGATACAGTGAAAAACCATACAAAGAGTGATATTTTGAGAATGATACAAAAGACGATACTGTGAGAACCAAACAGAAGATTATATTGCACCCAGGTTGATACAGACCACAAAACTGATTGAGAGTCAGTCAACAATATCAAACAGAGCACTTTATTCCCATGAATCAACACAATCTTTTTTATGCATAATTTCTTAAACTTTGTAAGATTACTTCACATCATCTTGTCATGACATTATATGTCACAAGGGGTCTCACAGTCTATTCTTACATTCTGTTCTATGCTGTACAATCTCTTTGCTATCGTGGATAGACTAAAGTCTACCATCTTTAACCGCTCTCAACAATTATCATCTTAACATTTCTCATTTTCATTTTCCTCAATACATTTGTTTTCCATTTCAGCACCTATTTAGTGAGTCGTTGCCCACATCTCAGGAAAAACCCAGTAAGTGCCATCTTCTTTTTCTTATAACTGTTAACATTAGCAGCTGTCCAAACATTGTCTTAGTTCTCTGTCTATCTTGATTTCATCCAACTTGTCAATTTCCTCAAATGCATTTAACTTTAGTTCCATGTCTATTCTCTAGTACAATACACGATAAAACACTGACTAATTACAAAATGAGAAATTGATATCATGATTTTTTTTTTAAACTACGTTCAAACGTTTCCATATGCTGTTCACCTACCAAAGCTTTTCTGCCAAATTGGTGCCAGTATTTAAAACAAATCTACCATTACAGACATGTACCTTAAAAGCTGCCCTCATAAATCGCTGCACGTGAGGACTACAAGGAGGAAATATATGGCTGACAGTCTGCATTGTCATTACCAGCTGTCCCAGCACTTTGTGAGATGCTGTTCAAAACATAAATGGTTATCAATAGATGGCAGTGACTGCTGTTGAATTCAGACTGAAAATTTTTATTGTTTAACATAAAATTCATTTACAGAGTTACAAGGAAACACTCAACATACCTGAAAGCTCTAGCCTGTCTGTTCACAATGAACATTAAAACAGGAAAATTAAACATTGAAACAATTAATAATTCATCTAACAAAATTTGGTGCTTTCTTAATATTCTACCCTAAACAGGGAAAATCTACAGGTCACGGGACAGTCAAATAATTCAGGGGGTGGTAGATAGGCTGCAGGCAGTGGTGGGACCAAGACTGCACTCTCTTGTGAGACGTAGCTGCATTGGGGTTAGGGCCAGTTCCAGATGTTTTGGGGTCGTTAAAAGCATCAGAAAGCCAGTCTTACCACCCTCTAAAACGTTGGACTGTCCTGTGACATCCACTAGGGTAGGATATTCAGAAAGAACCAAAAATGCTACGCACAGAGACATTTGCTCCAGGAGACGGAGCATCTGTGAGTATGCACGGTTTTCTATGATGATTCTACTTAAATCAGCGAGCAATCAAGCATCAGACAGTTTTACTTTAATTTGTTCTATATGAAACAATTGTCACTTCAAACTAAATCTGGTGTGTCCAATGGAGTTCAAATAATAACCCTATTTAACAGACTGAGCTAATGTACAGAGGGGGTTAAAGGAACAACTGGATGAGACACAAACAGATAAGGAAAACATATTACTTTTTAAGAGAACCAATAAATGAAAGGCGAGTCGCCTGGTACCCAATGAATTAAGATATGCAACTGAACAAACAAAGATGTTGTAAGGGTCCTTTTGAAACGAGTAAACTGTGTGAAGGCATAGACAGATCATCAGGGTCTAAAGAGATTGGTGCAGTGAGGAAAGGACGGACATACAATCAGCATGTTACTAGATCCACTGGAACTCTGCGCCTGCAGCTAAAGATGAATACAGAGCGCTTTTTGGAGTGTCCTGAGTGCAATGATGTTAGTTCTTATAATTGAACAAATAAATAATTCAAATATATTCATATTTTTCTTTTTTTTTTTTTCTCTCTCCTGCTTCCAGTGTAAACTGTGTGACAATGAACATCATACATGTCCACAAACTTGTCTTGTTGACATTAATTTATGAGGACAGACATGATTTGTGTTGCCTATACATTTGCAGTGGGCTGAAGTTTTATGTGAATGCTGAAAATTATATCATGCCTTTGGTGATACTGACCACATCATTGGTTGAGTGTCGATCAGCCCATCAATATTAGTATACTGATCATCAAGTACCATGTACTTTGCTGACTGCTGCTCTATGACAGAATAACCAAAACTTCATTGAGCCCCTTGCCAACATCATCAACTTCAACACCAAGGGTATCAATAATATCATATTTCCACCATCACGCTGGTCAACCCTTGCCTCTTTTTCCCAGAACCATGTACCCTTTACATGTATGCATGTTCTATGCAAGCCATTAAAGTGTTTAACAAGGCCAAAGTATTTCAGCTTCTAAGAAACGACACTGTCTCTGAGCCAGTCTCTCTGGATGTTCATATCATGAAGAATATCCATATTTTCCTCGCCCTGGTCCTTGATATCCCATACATTTACTTATAAACAAACTCTCATTTTGTTTTTAGTGATGGTGAAATACAAGTGGACATGAGTTGTTATAGCCATTGTGCCTGCAGTGGCATTTTCTGCCAAGCAGAAAAACTGTTCAGCTGCTCACCACCTGTATCCATCACTTGCAAGCCATAACTTTACACAACTCTGATCGAAGACTAAGCAGGGAAGGTATTCTATGCCTGCCCATTTACTTTCCTACAGGTTAGTGCAGGTAACAAGAGGCCTTTACCTCTCCTGTCAGTAGAGGTTCCCCTTTCTCACTAACCAAAATAAATTATCCAAACAGGTGATATTTAAATTATCTTTGGTGATATTTTAATTTTCTTTGCACATCCACACTATGGACCTAGCAAATTGGTCAAATCGCTTTGCAATGCCTTGGATGGTTCATCTTTCCTTACTAAATAAATAACTTCTTCTGATCTCACAATCCACAGCATGACCTCACTTACTTAATATGTCAAACAAAATTCACTCCATAAATGATAAACGAACGTAGACTGCTTATTTTACTGCATCAAACTTACATTCTGTCTCAGCTTTCTTTAATAAGTCATCAGCCAAAAGTTGTGTGTTAAAGCCTGGAACTAGAGCCAATCGGGCAAACATAGATATAATTTTACACCGCACGATCGCATCGTTTTCTCCACTGAGATGCTCTGACAATTCACTGTACAGGGACTCTGCTCCATCTTTGTCACTTGGGATGTTTTCTTCAAGCTTCAACAGAAGAAACAACACCTCCTGGGCTGTGCCTGCACTCGATAGGTTCAAGGATATAACTGGGATCACTGAGCGCTGAATAAGTCGTAATCTCTTTACTGGAGGCTGTGGTTCTTCCTGAAATTGAAGGGTGAAATTTGATTTTCCAACTCAGAGTGCAACTGATACAGTAGCTGGGAGACCAATGAATGAATGAATTAGTTAATTAGGGAATGGACATAGTTGCATTTAGGACATTTTCCCATGTGCTCTGTCTTCTTCTTCAGCAGCAGCTAAGGAAAAGTCAGTCTGCTAATAATACCAACTACAACCTGAGTTGGCAGACCAGAGTGATTAGAACACACAAAAGATCATGCTGACATAGCGGTTAAGCCACTGCTGTGGTACAACTGATACTGTAACTGTACTGCTGAATTGTGTTTTGACTCATTTCTGTTGCACAGCTGCCTGCAGTTTATCACGATCTCGTCATCACTGTGTGTGTCATTTCTTTTATGCATGAATCCACAGAGAAGTGAAGTACATATTTTTAGACATCCGTATTAAAGTAAGAGTATACAATTTAGTATTAACAAACTCAGACAAGTGGGTTTTAAAATAATCATTTGCGAACTGCTCATTAACTGTTCATTAGCTTTTCAATTACTGACATAAGTACAATAAAATAATGAGGGGTTACATAAAAATAGTAGCCTCAAAACTATTTGTGATTAGTTCCCTTTTATCTCATACTTGTTGAGAGAGGCGGAGACAGCGAGTTTATTCTATATGTCCCTTAAAATGGGACCCCAGAACAGGGATTGGAATAATTTAATAATTACACATGATTGTGTCAATAGAGCTTACATGTTATATCTTCAGACAGAAAGACAATGCCAAGGAAAGGACTTAATATTAATTAATTATTATTATACTCATTAAAAGTATTAAAATTAATAGCAAACATTGCTATCCTCTGAATAACAGTTCCAAATTATTGAGGCCGAAAATATACCCTAACAGGGTCTCAGTCATATGTAAATTGACAAGAGTATCACCCTGCGCCGCTAAGGGGGTAAAACTAGATGGCTGGGACTCACGAGCCCCCCCCCCCCTTTTCCCCAGCAAAGTGGCATGGGGAAAACTCTCGGCAGTGACTTTAACTTGGCAGGAAGCTTTTCTGCTGTATGCAGTGTAGTCGCCAGAAAGAGGTCCGCAATTTACATATGACTGAGGCCCTGTTATGGTATTTTCTTAGCCTCGATAATTTAGGACCGTTATTCGGAGAATAGCCTAAGCACTACTGACTATTGCATTATAGGCTATCCTCCGAATAACGGTCCCAATTTATTGAGGCCGAAAACATACCTTAACAGGGCCTCAGTAACGTGTCAATTGTGGACTTCCGGCGACTTAAATTGCACACTTCTGGCCTGGATTGGGGCTAAACTATATTTTTGGTCTTGATAATTTGGGACCGTTTTTCGGAGGATAGCCGCATTATATTTTATTTTGAAATTTTAAATAATTAATAATTAGGCTCTCCTCCGAACTTCTACCCCGGCATTATGGTGGCCAAACAAATATCCTAACAGGGCCTCAGTCCTATGAAAAATGTGGACTTCTCTGACTTCCTGCAGAGCGGCAAAACTAGGATCGGCTCCGTATAATGAAACAAATGCTCTAACAGGGTCTCAGCGATATGTTAATTGGGGATCTGTTTCCGTGACTATGCCTCACCGCCAACAGTATCCCCTGTGCCGCTCTGCGCGGCATGGATGGGGGCTAAACTAGATGGCTGGGACTCACGAGCAGCAGCTACCCCATCTCCCTGCAACTTCCTCCAATTCATTTACTCGTAAGTCCCAGGCGGTGAGTGTAACCGCGTTTTGCGCATGCCGAAAAGTTTGAGGACAACGACGCTAATCTGCAGTGGAGCGCGTGGTTTCCCCGCCATGTCACTTTTGTCATCTGTAATGTTGTATGTCTCGAAATTGTCAATGATCGCTAGTATTTAGTATCGTATGCAGAAACGCTTGAAAGTGTCAACGGTCGCGCCATTATCGTCTGCAGTGTTGCGACTCTTGAAATTGTCAAGTAATCCTAGTTTTGCTGCGATTTGTTCGTTGCCGGAAGTCTGAATATTTTTAATAGGACTGATGCCCTGTTAGGATATTTGTTTAGCTGCCATAATGCTGGGGTAGAAGTTCGGAAGGAAGGTTAATAATTAAAAGGTGTGTATTCTATAAGAATAACAGTCATACAGCAGCGACTACAGTGTTCGGCAATTTGCGGTCTTTTGGCAATTTCCGTTACCATGGAAACCGTTCGAAACTTGTTTGGGACATGTCGGCTGGTTTCAGGATGGGTCCCAATCTCTCATGAAATTTTGCGATTGGTGTGATTTTTAATCAGCTATAAATAGCTGAAAACGGCGGGAACGAACCAGATTAACAGCGCATATCTACGACAGCCGGACGTCCTCTGTTTTTCTGTTACATCAGTTTTATTAAAAATAGCAGAATGAATTCAAGGTTGGCTTTAGGCTTTAACATTACTCGTACTGGTAATGCTAGTTATAATTGAATTCTCTGTCCAATTTTACATTTGTATATAAAATTTCTTTCTTATCAGTGGCTTTTTAGATTTACAGTGACATTTTTCAGGCAATCGCTATTATGTGGCTGTGTCTCATTGTCTGCCATCTTGTCCAATGCAAACAAAGCCAAAACGATAAGTGCGCAGTTTGGTTGCGCAGAATCCTTCAACATGGGAAATGATCCAGGCATACAACATAGACCTACAGCCTAAATATACAGTCACAACAACAATTTCAGGCATAGACAGAAAGGCTGAAGAATGTGACCTAGTACTGCGTGCAAAGACCATTGAACATGTCTGCAACAGCTATCCAAAACCCGAATGGACACACGTATACACCGATGGATCATTGGAGGGAGCAGACAAAAATGGAGGAGCTGGATCGGTCATCATGCTGCAAGATGGGACCACAGTAGAAACGTCATGCGCCTCCAGAAGACTCTCAACAAACTTCAGAGCAGAGCAGCAAGCAATTATTGATTCAGCTAAAGTGCTCAAGGAAAGAAAAATTAAAAACAACAAAATTGTTTTCCTTTGTGACTGCATGTCAGTCCTCCAGGCGACTCATAGGGATCCACGAGACAACATGGAAAGAGAATTAACCCGTCAGCTTTACAGACTCACAGTAAACAATCAAATCGTTCTCTAATGGATCCCGGCTCACTGCGGCATACCAGGAAATGAGCTAGCAGACAAACTTGCAAAAAATGGAACAAAGAAGAAACAACACGCCCATTCATTGTCATTACCAGAAATCAAAACACTTATCAAAGGAAAATCCTAAGGATTGTGGAGAGAACAAACTAACAATAAACATTCACAAGACCCCATCAGCAGACTCAACAGAAAGCAACATACAACAATTTTCCGTCTACGAACAGGACACTGCAGGCTCAACTACCACATGCATAAAATAAAGATTGTGCAGTCCCCACAGTGTGCCTGTCAAACAGGACCACAAACACCTCAGCACATTCTGCAGACCTGAGCACTCTACCTGCAACTTTAAAAAGACACCTGGCCTCAAGAGCAGAGTGTGCAGAGCAAGCTATGGGGAACCATGACCTGCAGCTGACATGCGAGTTTATAGAGGCAACCCACCTGATGGTCTGATCTGAGCATACGAAACCGAACGCAAAGAAGAAGAAGAAGGTTGCGCAGAGAAAACTTCTTGTTTCTGGGCGCAAGTTTTCAACAGCTGTTTTTTACATCTCATCTGCACAAAAACCTACATATCTCAGCTCAGAAATGACATACAAGCCTAAATGAGGTACCATTGGAAAGAGATTGTTTACAGCTATCTAACTGTGCTGGTTTTATTGGTGTAGAGGCCATTTTTAAAATTGTGACTAAAGTATCTACTACAGTACACCTGCCGCTTTCTTGATATGAAATTAAATGGAACTGAAACTGAAGCATAGGCAAGTATTTTTGGAAATTAAAACCTCAACTAAACACAAAGTTAAAGTAAAACAGCTGTGCAAGTTCAAGTAATATATAAATAAAGTTAAAGTTAAAGTAATGATCTGTGTACTGTGTGGCAACCATTACAAACTTTACTATATTTGGGTAGGAACATTGTATTCTGTGTTTATTTGAATCATACACTACTGAACCATACTAGTCGACTAAATAAAAAACAAGAAGCGTTCAATAAAATAAAATGTGTGTACATACTGTAACAACGTGACTGAATTCTGCTAGAGCTCGTTTCTTCAATTTAGCGGCCATGTTGTAAACAACAGTTTGCTCTCTCGAGGAGGAGATCACATCAAGTATCAAGGTGAAGGTATTGCTATGATGGATGGATGTTGGGAAGTAGTTCTCCAACCAGGGCTAACAAAACTGTGTATCTTTCCCCAAGATCGGTTTTTTTTTTTTTATTTTTATTATTATTATTGTTCACATTTTGGAATCTTGTATATTTTTTTTTTATATCCTTATACAAAAGTCGGTCGTTTCATAATTAAAATTGTACTTTTCATCATTTTTTTTTTGGGGGGGGGGGGGGGGGGGAGGGTGTTCTTTGCTTATGTATTGCTGTTTTTTGAATGGTCAGCTTCAACATCGCCATCATGCAATAGGTCCTTTGCAGAACGTCGCTCTCATCACAGTTGCATGCAAGAAGCTCGGTCTCTCACCAGTTCTCCCGCCTCAGCTTAGCTTTTTTAATAAAAATCCCATTGTCAGCCCTGTCTCCCACAAGACCGATTCCTTGCCACATGCGACTTCATTGCGCTGCATTTATCCTATATGGCTCGGTATCTCTCCACGGAACAGCTACCCGAGTGCATCGCACTAGCTCCTCAGCTCCAGCGACATTTCCTGAGGTCTCCAACAACTGCGCTGGTGAATCCACAAATTTTAAGAACCGAAAGACAACTCTTTTTCCTCAACGTTCATAGCATTTCCCTACATTGTGGCTTTTATAAAAATTATTTTGTCTTTAAACGTAGTCGAAATAGTTCACTTTGTATAAATAGTAAATGTTCTTAATATATATATATATATATATATATATATATATATATATATATATATATATATATATATATATATATATATATAAGCGCTGTACCGAATAGTGATTTTTACTATTCGGTCGAATACGAATACCTGGACCAACTATTCGGTAGAATACGAATAGTGAATCATCATAATCAGGTGCTTTGTCGACAGGCATGGGTGATTATGCCTCGCCATAATCTGCGATCCCCTGCAGCATGTATTAGTTCGTGTGCCGACACACCTCCATGCCATGCAACACGACTGACAAGAATCTTCTCTCGTTGTCTTCCTCTATCCCTCTTTCCACATATCTTTCCAGTGGTCACCACGCGTTCAATTTTCCCTAATCGTATAACATAGCGGAAAAATGATGACTGTCTCCTTCTGATGTCTGTGAGTAGTTGTCTTCGGGCTCCCGCCCTTTTCAAAACTTCTTGGTGCTTTGTGTGAGTGTGTGTGTGTGTGTGTGTGTGTGTGTGTGTGTGTGTGTGTGTGTGTGTGTGTGTGTGCTGTTCAAGGTATTCTAAGCATTCTTCTGTAAAACCACATCTGTGAGGCCTCAAGAAATTATTTGGTCTACCTACTAGGAAGACCTAGACTTCGCCGACGACATAGCACTCCTGAGTTCAGAACACACAGACGCCCAAGAAAAAATCATCGACTCCAGAATTTCTCAAACAAATTGGATCCAAATTACACCGCAAAAACAAAAGTTTTAGACCTTACCAACAGTTCAGTTGATATCACGCTGAACAACACAAAGATATATTGAAAAAGTCAACAGTTTCACTTATCTAGGGAGCAAGATGTCATCCTATTCAGGAGATACCGCATTTGAAATACCATTTAGAATAGCCATCTGCATCTAGTGCCTTCAATAAACTGTCCAACATCTGGAAATCAAAGACACTTAGCAAACACACAAAATATCAAGATCTTCATTCTTGTGTGATTCCAGTACTAACCTATGAATGTGAGAGCTGGAAATCAACGAAAACTCTAGAACAAAATTAGACAGTTTTGAAAATAAATGCCTTAAAAGAATACTAAATTTCAAATGGTGATTTCCGAACCAATACACAAATAAGGCAAGAAAGGCAAGAGTATGTGTCTAATTTTATACGTCCGCTGGAACTATGTCGGCCACGCCCTTAGAATTGATAAATCACTTCCTTACCAAACCCTCATTTGGACACCACAGGGGAAAAGATCTCGTGGAAGACCAAGGGAAACCCTACGTAGAACTATCATCAGGGAAGGCTCACTCATGGGCCACTCAAACATCCAAGACCTACAACAGATTGCAACGAACCGCCATGCACGGAGAGTTATGACCTCTGTCCTATGTGCCGCACTCGACACAAGAGGAAAGACTAACTAACTAACCTACTGATTGCCCAGGACTCACAGCCATATGTTAAAATTGGATGTATGTAGCAAGCAAGAATTCTTTTTCTAACCTTCAATGACAAAGATATATTGTATAAGATGTTCTTCATTTTATAAAATGCAGTTTTTGTCTGCCCTATTCTGTTTCTTATTTGCTTCCATCTGATGTTATCTTTGTGCCCAGATACTAAAATTTCTATACTTGTCCCAAAATAAAACCACTGATTTTTATTACACATTTAGGAATAATTATTTTCTTTGATACCACCATTACTTCTGTCTTCCCGCTATTCAAACTGAGGCCCATTCTTCCACTTTCGAATAGTGTATAAAATTGATCTAAAAAAAAAAAAAAACATCCATAATACAGAATAGTAAACTTTTAAAAACATTTCATGCTTTGCATCCTTCAGTCAGTCAGTCTGTGGTAACTAATACATAGGAATGAAAGTATTCTTAGTTTTATAAAAAGTAACTAAACTTGTAAATTGTCACTGATAGCTTAGTTAATCAATAAAAGCGGCATTAGCTTTCAAAAAACAAAAATCGTTCTATGTTGTCAGCATTTAGGCAGCTTCTTGTCTCACTGAAGGTATTTCCAGCTGTACTAAACAGACGTTCACTTGGTACGCTCGTAGGTGGTGCACAAAGATAACGATTGACAGTATGAACCAACGTGGAAAATTTCGATATGTTTATTTTCCACCAGTCTAGAAATGGGTGTAAGGTAACCACTATTCGTATTCGGCCGAATACGAACAGTAGTTACCCTACACCCGCTTCTACATACACGGCCTTAATACTGACAACATGGAACGATTGGTTTTGTTGAAAGCTAATGCAGATTTCCTGCATTAACTAAGCTGTCAGTGACAATTTCCAAGTTTAGTTACATGTTATAATACTTAGGATTCTTTCATTCATAGTTATTAGTTACTAAAGACTGACTGAAGGATGTAAAACAAAACATGTTTTTAAATGTTTACTATTCTGTACAAATACTAACTAGACATGGAAAGAATATAAACTCCGGCCACATCTGAGTCGATAATATGGAAATCAAACAAACAGAAACATAAGTACTTGGGTGCAAACTTCAACTGCTCTAACATGCTGAAAGAGGAAATACAATCTAGAAAACAATCTAGAAATAAAGTATACTATGCTTTTCAACATCTGCTAAAGTCAAAGTGCTGTCTCGCAACACCAAGATCAAAATATATAAAATGTTGATAAAACCAGTCGTTTTATGTGGCTCTGAAACTTGAAGCAGAAATAAAAAAGATGAGGCCTTATTACAGGTTTTCAAAAACAGTCTTACGACAAATCTTTGGACCCATCAAAGATGCTAACAGCGGGGAATATAGAATAAGAAGCAACAACGTAACACAATCTGTTTAAATCACCATTGATCACTGTCATCATGAGAGCTAACAGACTAAAATGGTTGAGGCATTTTGAAAGAATGTCAGATGACAGAGAATTTAAACTGTATACACCTAGCTCTTTACGGACGTTTAGCCAGTATACTGGCGATTAAGTTTATCCCCTAAAGACGTAAAGCCAGTTTACTGGCTCATAATAGAGACACACTAATTTTGTTCCGTTTGTAGGGAAAACGAACTTTTATGAACAAGTTTTTTAAACAATTAGGATTAACAACAGGATGTACTTTCATTTGCAATGTTCATCGTGGTCGGTGCATTATTTTGTGATTTAAAAAAAAAAATATTTGTACGGGATTTTCTATACTAAATGATAAGGGAAACGGTCTAGAACTGTCCATACTGCTCTATCGTTGATGAATCCCTGCCAGATGGTGACAAGTCTTGATATTATGATTGATGTCTAAGGGAGAAATCTACTAGCAATAATTTAGTTTAGGAAATGAAAATTTCACAAAATATTTCAATTAGATCAATGTTTCGTTCAGCTGTTTTTTCCGATTTTCGGTTGTTGTGAAAATTGACATGTCATACAAAAATGATTATAATATCCAAAGTATTTAAATTAATTGTTTCAAATAAAGACAAGCTAATACATAATTGAACAGAGAATGCATGTGTACTCTTAGAATTGGATAGCAGTGTTGTTGGACCAGTAAAAAATAAAGTTAGCGCACAATTTTTTTTATGTCAAAAATGTTCAAATAAGCCTAACATCCTTGAATGTTCTGTGATTTTAATAATATTTTAATGTTATACTGACATTTAAGTAGTTTAGATTTATTCTGCACTCATTTATCTTTAATTTGATATATTATAAGTCCCGATACAACTCATACTTTTTTTTTTCAGGAAGGTTTTAGCTTTGTCGTGTTGCACTAAAAAAATTGCGCTTAAAATAAATGCTGTCCAAACCCCAGAAAAAATGCCGTCCTGAAAGAGTTAAGAGAGGAATGGGCGTAGACCACGAAGCAGACAAAAAATAAGTTCGAGAGATAATGACCAGCCAGACCTGCAAACATGTGTCACAAATTGTGAAGAGAAGGCCAGCCAGAGTGATGAAGGGAGACGAGTGATATCTGCAGCAGTAAACCTCAAGGGCTCAGAATGCTAAAGAAGAAGATGACCATTCTGTGCTACTTAATGTCAAGTAAAAGTTCAGAGTACATTTGACATTATGAATTAGTTGTTTTTTTTTTTTAGACATATTTTATAGACTATTCATATTCGTATTCGGCCGAATAGTTGGTCCCGCTATTCGTATTCGGCCGAATAGTGAAAAACACTATTCGGTACAGCCCTAATATAAATATATATATTTTTTTTTTTTTCTGTTCGTTCAGTCTCTTTAAAACCTCTATTTGACTGCTCTTGCTTCCATGAGATACC